GACAAGCAAATGTTTGATGGAATCACTGGAACCGCGCTGTTGAATCGCGTCTCGGTAAGTGCTTCTGAACCTACCTGTTTCGACTGCAACTCGATGCTGACATGACACTCGGCAGAAGAAGGTTGGACCGGCATTGCGTTTTTCCCACGAAATACTCTAGCTCAACAGTGTTGACGTACCTTCGTGTCACAATAAAAAGGTCACACTAATAAGAAAGCTTACTTACCATATCTTGCGAAGGTAATCAATACTGCGTTTATTTGAGCTCCGTAGCAAACACAAAAGAGGAGATAGAATTGATGAGAATTGTCCCTCTTCGACGAGAGCGTTCGCCACCGCTACCTCTGAAAACAAGGTGATGACAAGGAGAGAAGACTGACCTCTGAACCAAAAATTTAAGTCAGAGTTCAAACTATTTACACAAATAGGGTCCGCAAGGGTCGCGTGGGCATATTCCATTCGGCAAGAAAGACGATCGTGGGTAGATGGTCTTGGCCAGGGACCGTCGGAGCAACGCTGCTTTGGTGTGCTTTGTTAGGCCTAACGCCAAGTTAGCCCTTGACGGTCGCTTGGTCGGGGGGATCGTTGCCGTTGTAGCTTTTTCCTGATATCTGTGGATCCAGCGTTAATTTCTGTCGTGGTCAATTTGGAATATTTTTTTTTCCTGTTGCATGATGTAGGCGTCCGCGTGAAGAATACGTAGAAAAATAAATGCACGTTGGTGTTCGCGACGAGTATATGAGCGACGCTGTCGGCCATGCTGACTTGATCGTATAAAAGTGCGTAACACAACCCTGGAGCTGTCGTAAGATTCTGGTGTAACTGACGCAAAACGTGCGAACATTTCGTTTCGTGAATTCAAATTTGTGCGTACGTTTTGTCGGTCGCACTTTTTTGTCGTAAAATCGTTTCGTGATTCAAGCCTCAGGTGCTCGGAACTCTGGACTTGCTACATTTCTGAATGGCTGTCACTGAGTACAGAAGACTAATGCCACGGCAGCCGATTTTAGTATCCAAGATATTTATTCCCATCTTCAGAAATCTCACAATAACGCACTAGTGACATCGTAAGGAATGTAAAACGTACCCTAAAAAGCTAAAAGCGTCTAACAAATAGCCTTGCTACTTAAAAAAAGAAAACAAAAGACATCTTGAGATTGCCGAGGCATTGCTCCCAAGGGAATTTCCCTTCAGACCTTCCGACAGTGGTGTCTCTTGCAGCCACCGTCATTCTGGTCTGTGACGCATTTACTTATCTTTATTTATGCACTATTTTTATGAGTTTCGCGTTCACACAGCTCCGAAATGGAAAGGGCGCTCCGCCTGCTTTAACAGTTCTACTTTCTTAACCATATCTCGTTTACATCTACGACGCTGCGGACAGCCGGAATCAATCGCCAGTTGGTTCTAAACCTTGTGGTATCTTCCTCCGACGAGCGTATCTTGGGTCTATTCTGATTCGAACGTGATTGAACCTGGCTGCCTGTAACTTTGATTATCGTCCATCAAACGTTGGGGCAAATTATAGCGCCGCTTTATGTAGATAAACAACACTACTAAACTTCAGATACTAAGTATATTTTCTAGCCTTACCGTTCATTGTGTTGACGCTTTAATATTTCAAAATTGAAAAATTGCTCTGACGTTTTGCATAATCAAAACCTAGTCGCTGCATGAGGTTTCTTTTTTGTCTGTAAATTCCGGTACCTTAAGGTCATTTTGCATTCTACCTACGAAAGCGTTAACTATGGAGGTATTGCATGTCGTGTTGCCATACAAATGTGTCTGGAAACGTTGTGGAAGAGAATTTGAGACATTTCACACAACTTAAAGACAGCATTTTCTAAATACAGAAGTATTTATTAAGAAACTAACTGAAGACTCCGGTATTTTCAGTGGAAGTGTCCTTTCGCCTCGAAGTTTATCCTAGTGTTACTAAAACACTATATTTTCTTACCTTCAACAGAAACCAAATGGGCGGCTATTGTAACTAATACATTTAATGTGAGGTAGTTTTTTTTATAAAATTTTAGCTTTGAAAACAATAGATTGTAATCTATAACTACAAATATTATTGTCGCCTGTACACCATTGCACTTTTTGTTTTAAAAGTTAAAGAAAAATAAGCTTAGAAATTCGCAAACTGGGGGCAAGAAATACACTAAGAAACAATTTTATATGGCAGGCACTAACCGACTACAAGACCAAGCGTGACAGTGGGAAGATTTAGAATAACGTACCCAATTTGTGTCCATGTTAGTGCTAAATTTAGCGCAACCTTAGAGAAACGTAACGCTAGAGTGTTTTAGAATATAATTTCTCCGGCGAAACTTGGAACCCAAGCATCTCGTGCTTGGAACGTCACCAAGATACAATATTATATTTTGTTGCGGACACAAAACGCGTTGTCACTTGATAAAAGAGAACACATATTTGGTCTTGAGTTACGTTAGATTCGTTTAAATGTTGAATGCAACGCGAGCACTCGACCGTTCGTGTACGGTTACATCCGCTTGGCAATAGCTGCTTCGTATAGTTACTTTGTCCGAGAAGCCTTCACGTGAAGAGAGCAGCAAGTTGCAGGCGATTGTTGACAACTTCACTAGCTTTTTGAGGCCAGCTGTGGCGTGCACCTCCAGTAGGGTTACAATACCGTTCTGTATTCAAACTTTCCGACAAAATACGCCGCGGACATTGCCTACGCGGCGGCCGCGGTCCTAGGAGTCACCATTTTCGATCTCGGCTCGTCTTGGCTTTAGCAAACTTTTCGCACCTCGCGATGACAACGCAAAAGCTTTTGGAGCGAGTTTGCGTGTCCATGCAATAAAAAAAAAATCATTGTGCGTCGCCCAATACCCATAACGCGGTATTGGTTCGGCACATGTACATACTCGATGATGCTTTTTCTTTGGGTCCACAAAACTTCTGGATACGCAATTCCAAAACTCTCTAGTTCAAAAACAAAAACCAGCCACAAACGACGAAAGTTAGTAGGCACTAATTAAAGTCGTGCTTCTTTTGAGACCAGACAAAACAAAATATATAAGGCAGCTTTTTCTACAAGTCGTACTGTATTTTTGAATACCACACCATATGTGAAAATCCTGATGCGATTTCCGCAGCGTTCCCTTTGTGTAGAAAGCTTTTGGGAAACTGTGGTCGTACCCAGCGGCGTAGACTTTCCCTTTTCCCGGGGTGGGGGGCAGGGGGGGGGGGAGGGCAGGCTGAGAAGTTCTTTGGGGCGGGGGGGGGGGGGGAGGAGGAGAGTACATTTTACAGCATTTTTTGACACCGCCAATTATCAGTAGCCTAATTTAAGGGGGTACATTTAACAGCGTATGTATATCGCTATGTGACCGTCGCTGTGTGCGTTATTCTGTTTACATGCCACTACTAGAAGCTCGTTACATGGCACGTAAACAGCGTTTCGGTAAGGATCATGGCCCGGGGGGGGGGGGGGGGGGCTCTGCCCTCCCCCTGGATCTAACCAGGGGGAGCACGAGCCCCGATGCCCCCCGCCCCCCCCCCCCCCCCCCCCCCCCGTAGTCTACGCTTATAGTCGTAGCCAAATTATCATTACGATATTCCCTTCTTGTGCGGAGTACCATGCTATATTTTTACCTGCAAGTATGCGTGACCGAAAATGGCCAGTACCGTCGACTTCAAGCGTCAGAAGGTCGTGGGTATTTTACGGAGGTGTGCAAGTCTGTGACGCTTATATTTTGCATATTTGGTGCTATAGTCATTAGTATTTTTGTTGGCAGTTAATCTTATTAAGTTACTGATAGATTCGACATCCGTCTAGAAGCCTGTGTTTGTCATTGTCTTTCTCAGCTAATTTATGTCATTGCGAAGGACGTTTTCAAAAAATCTATAACTCAAGACTGAGCTGACAGTGTTTTGAACAAAGGTTCTTTTTTAACTTTATTGCGCTCTCTGTAATAAAATAAGCCTCCTTTGCACCAGCAGTATTGGAGAGGAATATACGGTGGGAAGGGCCTTAGATTAAATACGATGAACAGGCAAGACCGGAATTAAATAGAAAAACAGCCCGCCATAGTTATCACTCTTTTTTAACTTCAAAGGTCTTAATAAAGTACACAATTATGTATCTAGGATCATAACTCTTGGGCACAGGCTATTTGCTTTCTTTTTTGATAAATAAACTACGATGTAATAAAGTTTCCAACACACATTTATTAAATGCTCACTAGCAATAGCTTACAATATCTGAGTATAGCATTGCCAGTTTTTAAGAAGCGCCACATCCAGATTCACTTATTGAACACTACTCCTAGCCAAACGATGACTCGGCAATATCGTTCAATCTACGCACTCAATGGATGTCGTAAAATCGTCAGTGCAGAGAATTTGCTATACGTTATTTGCATGCGACGTCATTCGCGGCCATGCCAGTCCTTTATGAGCCGCGGGCATTGGGTTCTCGGTGCTAGTTTCGCACCGCAGAAATTGTAGCTCGAAGAAACCAGTGAGTAGAAATAACAGTCAGTACCCAGCAATGGCGTTGCTTGGAAGCTATGTATACAGGACGTACTGCTGATACAATATATGGGGAAGACACAGTTGTTTGAAGAAAAAATTAAAAAATAATTCAAATAATGATATATTAAAAATTTAGCCAGCCATCCTTATCTTGTTGAGTAGGACTTTAAGTCAAAGCCGTGAACCAACTGCTCTAAATTTCTACATTAGTTCTGCAATTCGTCTTCCATTGTCCTTATGCTTATCTATCTCATATGTAAACTTTGTTGGGATCTAGAGGGCGGCTTGATTTGTTATGTGTTTTTGTTTTTTGTTTTTTTGAAACTACAGTAATTTTGGACCGCTTTACTGAGTACAAAATACTGGACACTCATATCTTCACAGTCGCTCTTTTCGCATTGGGACGATATTGAGTAACCAAATTGTGTTCGTCGTTGCAACACAGTTCTGAAACAGGTGACTTCTTGGTGAGTTTTCTGCTGCATGTAGGCAACCTTAACGCGCTTCTTCAGTTGGTGGTCTTCTCGACCCCTGCAACTCTCGGAGTGACCTTCAGATGGAGCCCCTGTGTAGGACGCAGTACCAATTCCAGCGACATCTGCAGTTGTTCCATTGACAGCTCTGATTCAACTTTGAAGTGCCGCATGATGTGCGTAAGGAGAATTTTATCTTCCAGTTGGGCAAACTTCTGACCTGTGAGCAGATGGGGAACCCTTGGTTAGTTAGGTACTATCCTATTCACTAGTTAAAAATGATATCTTCGCACCAATTACTGCTCAGAAATGAACTATTGCTTTCATATTCAGCGTCGCCTCTCTCAGCTACTGATCTGAAATTCCGTCGAGTGTTCAGATACCTATTTTGTTTTGTTGTAGTGGTTTGTTGTAAAATACGAATACAATTTTAGAACCTAACTCTGACCATTTGTTATGCTGCTATTATTAGTCAGAAATTCGATGATATTTTAAGTAAAAATGTAGTATCCTGAACAAATAAACCGCCGTTCCGTAACTTTCTTTGGGCGGTGTATACTTCTATTCACAAGAGGAACCGAATTTAATTTCTTGAATAAATAGGCTTTATCAAAATAGAAACGGATTTATATGCCACATCTTCAGGATTCTGGGACATTCGACTCTTGTCTCATCTCCCGGCTGTTCTAAGCAAATCAAAACTGTGTCAAACCGTTAATTCGCCGGAAGAACGGCAGCAATTGCTATATTATCTTCAAACATTTTAGATCGAAATCATAAAAGGTTAACCAATTTCAATTAGAAACACAGTACGCATAAACATTATTCCTAACTCGGACATTTTTCATTCTTTGCATTGAATTCTAACGACAACCTTTGCAACATCTTCACTTTGTGCTAACGGTATAATCATGAACCATAATAATGTTAATAATTAATATTGTTGGTAGGGCGACGAGAATGTTGGATATTATATGGCGTATTACTCAGCTATTCAAGAACCTGGCTTCATTATTCGTTTATTTTGTGCCCTAGTCAGGTCTAGACTTGAGTTCGGTTCTGTGGTCTGGAATTCGTTATCAAGAACACAAGCAATGACCATTGAAAATGTGCAACACAAACTAATACGTATTGTTTATGATCGCTACTTCCAACGCCGTTTCTATTTTGAATACACTTTCCTGTTTAATAAGATTATATTGATACCATTGACCAATAGAAAAGCAGAGCCCGACTTAGCTTTTCTGTCCAAAATTGTAAATAGCGTACTTGACAATGCTTCGCTTTTACGACATGTAAATATTCGTGTCCCTCCTCGTTCCACTAGAACCCGCAGTACTTTCAGCATTCACACCATCTGTAAACCATCTCCTCTGTCACGGATACAATCTCTGTTTACCAGTATTCAAGATGCTGTACTTGATATATGCAGTGACATTAAGGTGTCCAGGAACCAAGTGAAAATGCTTGTTGCCGAACTGTCAATATTGTGTGTTTGTTACTTTGTGTTTGAAACCTGCAATTGTGTTTTTTTGTTAATATTTATATATTTGTGCAATAAAAGGGACACCTGCATGGTTGTTTTAGGCACGTAAAACGAAATAAATAAATAAATAAGTTGTAATTCCATCAGACCCATCACAGTATATAATTGTTCCCAAAAATATAATTTATTCCCAAGAAAAAATCTGAATGTTAAGCAATTTTTACATGAAGTGTGAAGCTATACTACTTGATGAGGCTTCGCAATCCATCCGTTTTATTTTTATTAAGAAATCAATAAAATTGCTTACCAATGCAATTGCGAGCTCCACCAGAAAAAGGAATGTACAAAAACGGATGTCGATCTGCGTAATCTAGAAACCTCTCGGGGAAAAAGGCATCCGGCTTCTCAAAAAACCTAGGATGTCGATGCAAGAAGTATAGCATCACTATGGACACAGTGCCCTTTGGAATGGTGTGCTTTCCTGCAAGCAGAAATGTTGTGGGCATGTGACATGCATACTCGAGAATCAACAAAACAGGAATTTATTTTAAATTGATGAGCGCTATCTAAAGCCTCTTTACAAGAATCTGTCTCAAATAGTTTTATCTTTATTGCGCACGATTCGCTCAATCAAGATGTTTCCATAACCTTTTTGATAGCTGGTTATAATTAAAAAGGGCTTTCATCAAGTTAAGAATTACTCAAACATACACGTTTGGCTCACCAGACGAAGCTTTCTGAAATAGGATATATATGTAACTGGTATTTATAAATGTTTTCACTTATCCACAATGAAAAATTATATTTAGTGACTGTAAATATATCTCATGTTAAAGAGGCAAAATGTAAATATCTAGTGAAGTATAACATTGTCGTTGGCTAATTAATGTCGGTATCACTGTACCTAATATCGCAGGAAGTGCATATTTTAAATTATAACTATGTTACTAAACCTTTTAATCAAAATTATAGTCTCGTTATCGCACAGCATGTGAAGCACTTCAGACCCGTACCTATCACGACGTCCTCATCAATCTTCCTTGCTATTGCTGGTATGGGGGGATACAAGCGAAGAGTTTCCTGGAAACAATATAAAAAGATGTATAAAAATAAAGGTCATCAACATATTTTTCACCAGAACTTCCCCTCACAAAAACTGTCATGTATGCATGCTGAATCTAAAATACCTTCAGAACACAATCCAGGTACTTGAGGTTTCGGATATCATCTGTAGTCACCGGTCTCTCTCGATCATTTCCAAAGACGGAGTCAATCTCGTCATGAACCTTCGCTTGAGCTTCCGGATGATTTCCCAGGAGATGAACCGCAAAAGCAGCAGCAGTGGCAGTTGTGTCAAAACCCTGTGGGTGTTTTTTGACATATTTATTCTTTGTCGAATAATACAATACAGTGTATTTTGCCTTGCGCCGGAGAAAAAAGATTATCCCTTCTTCCTATGGAAGATTCTTGAGAATGCGAAACCACACGATATACAAGTATACAACAAAACTAAACGCGGAGCCAACAGTACTTGAATTACATCGTATGTTTAAGATTGAAAATTACTTTAACCCTATTACTTGCAGGGATTTTTTCCTTGGTTAACGTGGTCTCTTTTAGTTAGGTGGAATAAAAATCCCTCTAACTTTTTGTTTGCTTTTAGGTTTTTTATTTGTCTTTTAAGGCTTCACATTGCAAGAAAATACTGCGGTGTACAATTTAGTCTCTGAATATTAACAACAGTTATGGCATATTATTGCAACAAAGAGACCTTTTATTGACGTTTCCCAGCTAATAGAAATATTTAAAAAGGTAATTATCAAATTTCGCATGAATATTTTTGTATTTATCACTTTACACTCCTAACATAGCGTCCGCCGTGATCAGTAATAATATCATCAAAAAAAGCAATGTTCTTTTAAATAATTTTGATTTCTGGTGGAGAACTATATACAGGGTCTCACCAAAAACAATTTACACGTTTTCTTCTTTTTTTTCTTCTCTTTTTTTCCGCAAAAATAAACTAGGCATCGCCGAACGCTCATTCTCCGCCCAAAGGTACCGCTAGAGGTCACAACCAGATGCCAAAGTTTCAGCCCGATCCAATACCTTGTTCAAAAGTTCTATCTGATTTTCTGAAACTTTCAATGGGAAAATGGCGCCCGACGGTGTTTTCGAATACACGAGACTCTATGGCAGCAGAAACCGAAAACGGATAAAATGGACTCCCTTTTCTCATTCAATTTTTCAGAAAATCACTTGTAACTTTTGAATAAGGTAACGGATCGGGCTGAAACTTTGGTATTTGGTTGTGACCGCTAGCGCTACCTTTGGGAGGAGAATGAGCGTTCGGCGATGCCTAGTTCATTTTTATGGTAAACAAAAACTCTGTAAATTTGTTTTGTGACACCCTGTACTTCACGTACCACTATCTACCAAGTAGAAACAATTACATTTGGTATACCACTTGGCTAGGATTGTGAAACTTGGAAGTGTTTAATCATTTGCAACTCAAAGATAAACCTTGATTCTGTTTAACTTCGAGGTGATATTTTCAATCACCATTATCATTTAGGTAGATTACAAAATAATCCCTCTTCTACATTAAGAGTGCGTTGCAGTTAACTGACATTTTCACTTGGGTACTCTATGCTTCCTAATAGTTTACGCCCACGTCTTGGCGTCTGGCTTAATTGTCTGCCTCACACATCAACGCCTGTACTTTATCATTTTACTCAACATTTGTAGCTTGTGACCGTAATGTATTCTCAGCACCACTTTTTTCTAAATATATAGGGTCGCCTGAAAAAAGATGCTGCTGACACAAATTTTTAATCATACCTGGCTTGATTTCCGGCTGCGACAGAAGCTCCTGATTAATACTCGACTCCCTCTGTCCTCGTAATTTCGACGTCCTTTTTTGTGTGTGTACATGAAAAAAGAACCGCTAGCATACTCAAAATCCCAAACAGGTTTTCATATACTATTTCAGTCGTGTATAAGAACTCTTGGAATCAATAAAGGTAAACCTTCAAGTCAGCTTCGGGAAGGTTTACAACACGGAATATGTGTTACACCGCCAAAAATACAGTGCTTTGATTACATTACTAACCTATATGAAAAATAGACCTTGTGGTGAAAACTCACCCCAATCATGAATGTGTTGACCTCTTCACGAATTTCGTCTTCAGTAAAGATGCCCTCATCCATGTGCATTCGTAATAAGATATCCATAAAACTTTTATTTCGGTCCTTCTCCTCTACACCTATCTTGTATGTTGCCTTCCTCGTCCTTAATATCTGTAATGACACGTCAGAAAGAAGAGCAAAATATTGCCGATTGCTCTTAACAAATAAGCGCTAAAACGCATTAGTCATTTCAAATAAGAAACGCGCCGATAATATGACGCGCAGAATCATAAGTTTATTTCAAGTGAACTGCCAAAGTCATGAACACTTTAGTCACGTTGGCGACGATACGATAGAGAACACTATGCTGAAGAAACAACCTTAGTGCACTAGTCTTTACAAAACCGTACTCACTTTTTGTGTGTATTCCTTTATCAGTTCAACTTTTTTATAATATCGCCTTCCTTCAGGACTGAATCCATACGTGATATCCAGCCAGTGATATATATTTAGCATCCTGGCTATGATGCTAGAGGAAATTCTGTAAAGGGTAAAACCAGATAGCGTACATGCGATAGCTTTGACTAAATTTGACAATATTTTCGCAGAATCTAATACCATACGTAGTCACTCTTTGTGTATACAAAATATCACTTACTCGTCATTCACTTGTAAGAATCCTGTTCTCAGAACTTCATTTTCATCTAATTGAATGCCCATGGCTGTCTCTGAAATTTACAAAAACAATGTCATTGAGGATCGACAAGCTGTAGAAAATTGGCCAGACTAAGTTGGAAAGCCCCAGCAAATTTATGTCTAGTCTAGATATTGTCATTCACATAGAAGTTAATAAAATATACTGCGATGCTCGTGTTCCGATTGAGGTTATCCCGAGCTTTCATCCAAACCGCGTCTCCAATCATTGACATACGTAATATCCCGAGTCATCGCCCACCCTCCTGCCGCCTGAAATTTATTTAAAAAAAGGTCGGCTGGACAACGTCTCGGTGGGTAAGCACAAAAAGTTTAAAACATCTTAACAAACGCCCGTTCTTTTTTACGTATCTAGCGCGCCTGCACGAGAGATTCATTAAACTCGAATTAGTTCCATTGTTTTATGCAAGAAATGATTATGAAAAAACGTTTTACGGTCGCAAAGTCCGTTGCTAGCATATACGCGATAAATACCGCTAATCGGCATACAGCGCGAACCTTTGTTCCGTGAAAGCATGCTTCTAACAGCACTATGTTTTCTTCGTTAATAAAAATAAAAAAACGTCAACGAGAACATAGAAACGCCAACCAGGCACAACGAGCGAGCGGGAGAAAGAAGCGACAAAGAGCAATGCTGGGGAAGCGGGAAAGCCGGCGATCGCGTTGGCCAATAGCTCGGCGTCAGGGCCAAGGCAGGCGCCTTGTCAATCGCAAGGAGCAGGCTCTTGCGCAACTTTCTTGTCTGGTTTGTACATGCGTGCGTCCGTGAGCGGCGTGCTATCAACGCGGGTTGTGGCGGTGCTGCTGTGTGGCGTGGACTGCACCACGAACACGGAGGTCGAAATGGGACGCCCTAGAAACGTCGGTGTGCGGCTTTGCAACAAATATTTATTTTACACATTTTTGAAAACCGGAGACGACGGACGAAGAGGGGGACAACACACAAAACGTCTCAAACGCAGCTACTAAATTTTATTTGAACAGTCGTTTATATAGCATCTCTCCCACACGTCTTCCGGAACTTCCCACGTCACAGCAACTTTTAGCCAGGGTATATCTCGTCTTGACCCTTTTTTTTCTCTCTCTCTCTCTTATCACCTCACTTAGTTTGTACAAAGCATTGCAATACAAGCACCATCATCACACCCGCTAAAGTCGGACCCAAGGAACCATACCTTCACACCCCACGTAACCTAACTGGCAAAAAAATAAAATTGATAACAACACAAAACTTTTTGGGTCGCTTCGTCTAGTCTGATAACAATTCAAATCTCCGAACTCCCTTCATTGTCGCAACCCCCGAAGGTCGGACCCAACGCACACACCTTCACACAAGCTGCAAGGCATAACTCGCATCTCGTATCACGCACAAACACGCCACATTAAAACATACAAAAAAAAAATTTACAACAGCAAAAATTTTTCGGGTCGCTTCGTCTAATGCGATTGACGGCTGACTGATACAGTTTCCTACAGTCGTGATTCTAATTGTCTCTTTCAAAACTCTTTGCGCAATCTTTTTCTTTGCTCAAAACAACAGTAGACCCCCACTCCGGCAGACAATTGTTGCACTCCTGTACGTGTTTAGCAATCTCAGAGTTTGAAGACCCGATCCTAACTGCCCTCATGTGTTCAAGCAGTCTCTCATTCAAGCACCTTTTTGTCTGCCCCACGTAGGTGAAACCGCAGGCCATTGGAATATCGTACACTACACCAACCTGGCAATCAACGGCAGCTTCTCTGTGCCGTTTCTGACAACCTCGCGCCCCTCCCACGAACGGCGTAAGCCTGTTCAACTTAAAGTCGGGAGTGAAGACCACCTTTATCTTGAATCTCCCAGCAACCGCCAACAAGTTGTGCGAAAACTTATGGAAAAAAGGAATGCACACTACCCTCTCTGGTTTCTCAATTTCTTTCCTCACTTCTCCTCTGAGTCTCACCACACACTTCCTTGCGACACCCTCCACAAGGCTACTCTTATACCCTGCCTCCTTAATGCGTTCTAATTGTCTTAAAACAGCTTTATGTACTTTGTGCCGACAAGATTTTTTCAAAGCGTTGTCTAGTACTCCAACGTGGTTAACCCAATGAATGTGGTCGTTTCGAGGCGTTCGGCTTCGTTGTTAGAAAAAGGTCCCAAGTTTTGTTTGAACGTTGAGCCGTCGAGGTTGGATATTGTGTCATGCATCCACAGCATAGCTGCGAGGGTTCCAATGGACGCGAGGCAAGGTTTCGTAGACCAATCAATTAAGGCTGTTTCAAGGTTAGTTGGTCCTGGGAATAGACCTGAAAAAAGAGATTTCAAAGCTGTTAAGGAGCTTAAGAAAGAGTTACCAGTGGGTAAACTTTCAGTGCTACAGACTGACAAAACCGGGAAGTTTGCGATTTTGCCAGAGCCCGAGTTTCGACAGAAATCAAGAGCAGCGATTGCGGGGTTGTTTCAGCCTGTCAAGGTTAACCTCAGACAGATAAAAAGGAATGTGCTGGAAATTCTGAATGAGTGTGAGATGGAGAAAGTGGCGAAAAAGGTTGGAGAGGTCACAAGGGACTCGTTTTCTATCAAATTTTTTTCTAAAAGACCACAAGCCTATGTTGCCGCTTAGGGTAGTTGTCAACGAGAATGGAACTTGGCAGAAGGTTGTGTCGACTTTCCTCCAAGGTTGTCTGTCGACAATCGAGTTGAACAGTCCTATTGGTCTCAGAAAGTCGGAAGAGCTTGTGAGCTGTTTGGCGCCTTTTCACCAGCAGAAGTGCGAAGTCATGTCACTAGACATTAAAGACTTGTATTACTCCCTCCATCAACCTTTGCTTCTCTCGAGAGTAAGGGACTTGTTGGAGGAAAACTTAGTTCGGTTCCAGTCACAGTCCGGGATAGACGTAGGAAGTTTTCTTACCTTAACGGAATTATATCTAGACTCCACAGCTGTAGAATTTGAGGGGGGCAAATACGCTCAAAAGAAAGGGGTCTGTATAGGTTCATCGTTGGCACCGGCTTTGTCCGAGATTTATTTGGCTTCTTTGGATTCGGCCTTGGGACAAATTGTACAATCATTCCCAACAGGGTCAGTGTTGATCAGGAGATACGTTGATGATATTTTGATATGTTCGGTTGAGAAGGGAGCACTGCCTGAGATCAAAGATCTCATAGTACAAGCAGCGCCTGAGTTGTCCTTTAGCAGTGAGGAGCCTGTTGAAGGTGAGCTGCAGTTTTTAGATCTTAGGTTGGACACGGTGGACGGGTTGTGCTGGGAATATGGAAAAGTAGCGGCAAAACCTTTGTTGCCCTACAAAAGTTGCCATTCCAAATTGGCTAAAAGAGGGGTGGTCATGTCTCTGCTAGACAACGCTTTGAAAAAATCTTGTCGGCACAAAGTACATAAAGCTGTTATAAGACAATTAGAACGCATTAAGGAGGCAGGGTATAAGAGTAGCCTTGTGGAGGGTGTCGCAAGGAAGTGTGTGGTGAGACTCAGAGGAGAAGTGAGGAAAGAAATTGAGAAACCAGAGAGGGTAGTGTGCATTCCTTTTTTCCATAAGTTTTCGCACAACTTGTTGGCGGTTGCTGGGAGATTCAAGATAAAGGTGGTCTTCACTCCCGACTTTAAGTTGAACAGGCTTACGCCGTTCGTGGAAGGGGCGCGAGGTTGTCAGAAACGGCACAGAGAAGCTGCCGTTGATTGCCAGGTTGGTGTAGTGTACGATATTCCAATGGCCTGCGGTTTCACCTACGTGGGGCAGACAAAAAGGTGCTTGAATGAGAGACTGCTTGAACACATGAGGGCAGTTAGGATCGGGTCTTCAAACTCTGAGATTGCTAAACACGTACAGGAGTGCAATAATTGTCTGCCGGAGTGGGGGTCTACTGTTGTTTTGAGCAAAGAAAAAGATTGCGCAAAAAGAGTTTTGAAAGAGACAATTAGAATCACGACTGTAGGAAACTGTATCAGTCAGCCGTCAATCGCATTAGACGAAGCGACCCGAAAATTTTTGTTGTTGTAAATTTTTTTTTTGTATGTTTTAATGCGGCGTGTTTGTGCGTGATACGAGATGCGAGTTAGAACTTGCAGCTTGTGTGAAGGTGTGTGCGTTGGGTCCGACCTTCGGGGGTTGCGACAATGAAGGGAGTTCGGAGATTTGAATTGTTATCAGACTAGACGAAGCGACCCAAAAAGTTTTGTGTTGTTATCAATTTTTTTTTTTTTTTGCCAGTTAGGTTACGTAGGGTGTGAAGGTGTGGTTCCTTGGGTCCGACTTTAGCGGGTGTGATGATGGTGCTTGTATTGCAATGCTTTGTACAAACTAAGTGAGGTGATAAGAGAGAGAGAGAGAGAAAAAAAAAAGGGTCAAGACGAGATGTACCTTGGCTAAAAGTTGCTGTGACGTGGGAAGTTCCGGAAGACGTGTGGGAGAGATGCTATATAAACGACTGTTCAAATAAAATTTAGTAGCTGCGTTTGAGACGTTTTGTGTGTTGTCCCCCTCTTCGTCCGTCGTCTCCGGTTTTCAAAAATGTGTAACATTAACCAGCTCGCCTGCCTACTTCCTTTATCTTCAAAAATATTTATTTACCTGCTTTCTTTGTCCTAAACATTACACAACCTTACCAACCGCGGTCACGACATTCCGGGAGAAGGAGCGGGTTCGCGGTGACTACTTCGGTGTAGATGCCTTGAAACCTTACACTACGCGGTTCCAGGATATGGGGCGTTCGCTGACCTCGCGATCCCAGAATGAGTTACTGCTTGTGTTACAGCAGCCGATGAAAAGTAGTTGCGAAGTTAGTTACTACGCTTATAATATCAGTGTTGTTGTTTTTTCAACTTCTCATCCAGGCTAGGGCTGGGCGATTGATCGATTAACCTAACGATTCATCAATTAATGCTTAAATCGCGATTAATCTTTTTAACCGGTTAATGCGTAAACTCTTGATGACTCAAAAAAAAAGTAAAATCTACACGCTTTCACCACGCAGTACACCTGGACGAAGGGCAAACTTTAGGTCAAAATTTAGCTTAAAGTGAACTGTAGGGGCACAACTGGTAACTCCTGGCAAGTGCAGAAGGTTACAGTTGTCCCGGCTATTTCAACGCCGTCCGAGTGTCCATTTAGCCTAGCAGGGAGTATTGTAAATGATCATAGGAAGTCGCTCTTGCCGAAGAATATCAACGAGCCTCTTGGACTAATGCAGCTGAAGTAATAATACGTGAGGGTGAGTGCCTTTGAACATGTTTTCAACTACATATCGAGGTTGATTTACAGTGAAAATTGTATATTGCGCCCATTACCGCATAACCAGCAAAATAAAATAAAAAAGTAAACAAAATATTAATTAAGATATTTTTTAATATTGGGCATGAAAATGAACGAGAGAGGTTCATATATTAATTAATAAAATAAAAGGTGTCGGTTAATAGGGTTACAACTTTTAATCGACGCCCAGCCCAAATTTGAACTTACCAAAAAGTATTCCGAAGGCAGCGATCCTCATGACGGGGAGGAGGTCGAAGCTACCGCTGCTCAGTGAGTTCATCTTCTTCACCAATTCGGACGCTCTTCGGTTCATGACAGGCACGTAGTCTTCGAGGACACGGAAATGGAACGCAGGCGTGAGGACTTTCCGCCTCTTCTTCCAAATGTCCTTGTAGCTGAAGGCATTGCGAAGAAAAGCTTAGATCGAGTACTTCATTTTCGAACGCACGACTGCTTTTGTTGGTCGTGTTCCGAGGGCATTTTGTACGACTATGATGAATGGCTTAATGCCTATCCTGAATCCACGCAAGACACAAAACACATTCTTAGGACTTGCGTGCAGAGATAAATGATGTTTTCCATAGTGTGTCGTAAATCCAGAAATACTGAAGCGCATTTCAAAACAGGCAGCCTAGATCCCTGGCCAGTTTTCGTGATATATACACGAATTTCTTGGCTATTTTGTAACACTTTAGAGCCCAAAGTTTTCAGTAGATAAAAATTGGACGACCCCCCTTTAAAAGTTACCTATATCCAGCTGACATCACTAAGGTCGGGAACGTTTCTGACTCTAATAAATATTTAGTAGACTCGATATGGTAATGATCGTTTTGGCACGATTCTTCACATTTGAAGTTTTATTATTTTTTCATTGGAAATTTAAAAGCAAGCAGTTCTTCATTAACATACCTTGTCAAGAGACCATTTCCAATCCAACTTTTCATCATGTCATAGAGGAATGACTTGTTCAGATTCTCGCTGTTTGAAAGCACACGCTTGACCATGTAAAAAGTGGATCGAAACAAGAGGTTAATATAATGGGGTTAACTTCGAATGCGGACTAATCGTATCCGCAGACGTAACTGAAAACCCTGAAACCAGACGATGTCTAAAACCTATTTCTTGTGACATAGCCTCCTATATAGTGGAAAGCCAGCACCTTCGACGTCTGAACAATAGTTGATCCGGTCACCGTAAAACAGAGACGTGGCGCGGGGGGGGGGGGGGGGGTGATTAGCAGCGCCACACTGGTTCGGTAAAGCAAACTAGCCCTCGTTTCTTTCTCTTTTTTTTTCGTATTGTGTGGTAGACTAGAGCAAAAGACGAATGGCCTCCTTCATAACTCCTCAGAACAACCTTTGATTGTCCCTTGTGTCGCGCAAAAAATCTCTAGACTAACCTCCTGTCCTGGTGCTTTTTGAGAGGAAAGGGGAAACGGGAAACGTCCTTTGGCACTCCGGGGTGGAGCAAATACTGAAGGAGTATGCGCCGAGGGACTGAGAGGATGGTGTGTCGCGTCCTTGGTGGGGACAGTTGACTTGACGTGACGAAGAACAAAATAAAAGAAAGGAGTATTTTGGGAAGCGGCCACACGGTGCGCTCTCCGCCCAACGCCACTTTTTTAATGTTTGGTCCTTTCGTCCCTCCCATTTTGGCGATCGGATCATGCGCGGACATCGCAGGCTTTCCCCCTATATATGGGGCTATGGTTGTACTAATAAATTTAGTAAGATTAATTGAGCCAAATATAAATCTTTTTTCAGTGGTTTATATTCGCTTAATATATTTAAGTTATTTAGCATTATCTTAGACTTTTTGAATAAAAAGCGAGGATGAACTAAAGAAGAAGTGATTCGAACACTGAAACATACACGAGCCTTTTTTCAAAATATTGACTAGCAGAACAGAAAGAAAACGTCCGTAAACAAATGTTAGCACCCCTTTCCCACTCACCCCCAAAACCATTCCGCATAATACTGGTAGGATCTTCCCGTTTCTGCGAATAATTTATTTTTTTAGAAAAGCTGGAGGTACTTTAGCATTCTGTGCTTCATAGTTTGCATATGCCCGATAAGCTCGTCCAAATGTACACTGGCACAACGAAAGTTTGACGCTTGTATATGCTCTCAAAGAGGGGTGAAGTAATTAAATGGCGTTTTACGTAAAACCGCATAATATTCAATGTTGAATCTTCGTTGTTTGTTTTTAACGTGCTTACCAACAGCCCTACGGCCTTTGTGGTAAAACAGAAAACATGATACATATTCACCACAAATATAAATGCTTAATAAGTCATACTCAGACTTAAAACCATCCACATGGTTAAAAAGGGGTAAATTTAACAAAATAGAAAAATAACATTAGAGAAATAAATAGTTGAGTGAAAGTAGCACAGATGCACTCCCAATAAGACCACAACATTTTTTTAACCTATTGCTGGTTTGTGGGTCGTGGCAGGGAGGAACATGCATTTAAAAACCAATAAGGTTCATACCTTCAATAAAGCATTACACAATATGGTATTTCCAATATTAAACAAAAAATGCCCGCAGAGCGGAAATGAAAACCAATGAAGGAAAGAGGACTAGATGCACGTAAAATAGGGCTGCTGGTCATCCAAAAAATATTCTGGTGCCACAGCAGAGCTACCATTTGACTTTGGTACTACATTGTAAAATTGACTGCGTGTTTGGTAGAGTTCAATTACGATGCTGACAATTTCATAGAAGGCTTTAGACATATGCAGTTTCTTGTGCGTTAATCTCAAACCACGTACCTCTGCCGCGTTCGGTGTCAAGGCGATAAGAAACGGTTGCGGCCCGTAAAAAGCCACAGTTAGCTCCTGATCAACAACTTGCTGGAACATGTAGTGAAAATAGTTGAACAGTTCTGCAAAGACAAATTACAGGAGTCCTGAAAAGGTTGCATCTCTGTCTACGAGATGTCCTAGTAACCACCACAGAAGTGTTGCAATTCGACTTCTGGGCCGAAAATGCCAAGAACCACCCACAAGTACAGTCAGAGGAATGAAAAGACTGTAAATGCGCAGGCGAGCCGGTGGTAGCTAGTAACGTCGTTTAACACCTGAAACTGTGGTGCAGAAAAGAAAAAAAAAGACTTTCTGTTAAAGGAACAGACAAAGAAAGGAACGTCTAGACAGTGGAATGAGTTTAGCAACTTCCAAAATTTACAACTACACAAAATTGCAGCCGGCATTGTGGCACTGGTGGTATTTATTTTATTTGTTCTAGTTAGTACTATTACTACTCCTTATCAGGGCTCTTAAAAAGGGGGAAAAAGAGACCCTTCATACCAAGAAGAACAATGGCACAAGCAATGAAGTTTAAGCGGCATTCAGATAAAAACAGATCATAACACATCTAAGTCTCAAAAAACGCGCTCAATAAAGAAAAAAATATCTGGCTCGTTACGAGATATTATGCTCTCGGGTAACAGATGTTACACTCCAATTGTACGAGGGGAAAGAAATTTAAACCACCGCTTTTTTAATTTCTGTTTTTGGAGATGACGAGTTCCTTTCTTGTAATTCTTGAATGGTATTGAGTCACATAAGGTGATAGTTTTTAACACAAAGTCGATCGTAACTTTAAAGTCGTCAAGTTAGCGAGACCGTATTATGAACCATAACGTTTTATAAACTATTATCAACACTTTTGCCAAGGTGTAAGGTTTGTTTTCCGGCCAGTGGCATTTTGGCACTCACTTCGTTGCGTAAAACTTAATTAATGTTCTTTGCAGAATGTTTTTTTTTTTTGCATCAAAACTGGTCGCGCATTACATCTGGTTTAGGATGAAGTTACCATGCCGTCTTGATTTATGGACCACTGATATCACTTCCATCCCATATCGAAAACAGAAAGCTCCCTTTTCTTTTGCCACAAAGGCCTTTTTGCAGTGAAGGAAGTTGGCAAAATTCGACGGAAACTTTTATACTGACCCTAAGAAAACATTATCTCGTTTATCCTTAAGCTAACGTTAGTCAGCGGCTTGGGGCAAATATGAAAACCTTAGTTTATTTTATATTTGTATTTCAATCATCGTCTTGAACGTTCCTTCATCCAAACTAACTTTTGTTACATTCGTGTCTTTCAATATCGGACTTAGCATATTATATTTTGACAGATTCTTTGATTGTGAACGTACAAACAGGGGAAACAATTTTGGTGAAATTGGCTGTGAATAAATGTCTCCTTTTTATTCTACTGTATTTTTAAACATAGTGACCCAAACGAGTTGCGTTTCTTTTTAACGGCTTAATTCAAAACACAGGTGTTGGGTTTTTACTTTCACAGCTGTATATTATGTATTTGCTGAGCAAGGCAGAAACTCGTCGAAAAAAATTCTTGTCTAAAGATTTGAAATGTTTGATTATTTGGCGTTCATGCCGTTTCAATCATTTAAACGAATTATATAAGAGTTATACGGTTATTTTGTCTGTTCTTTTTTATTTATTTATACTGTTTGACCAAACTACGGTTTTTACAAAAGTGAGTACAAATTTTAAAAAAACATTTTAAACAAAATTTTAGGTGTAAGGTGACGCGTTTGTTCAATCACGCTTGGAATATTTTACATCCTCACAGGGAAGGTTCAACGACTTATCTGCTTAGTTCTTTCATCACGTTTCGAAGTGGAAAACCTATTCATTTTGTTATTATAATCGATTGGTTCATCAATGTTATGCTTCCTGTTATGCAACAATCCAACTAATCGTCCGTTTTGTTGAAGGTTGAAGTTTAATGCTGACTTACCAAACCTGCAATTTCGAGGAAGTATTAAGATCCAACAGCAGCTCACCGCAGTATAAAACAGACTTTAGTTTTTGTATTGTATTTACGATTTATATGTAAGACAGAACCTATTGAAATTCACAGCTAATTACTCTTATTAAATTCATTGGTAAACTACTGCACCTTCAGTCTGTATGTAACGAATATCCCAATTGTTTTTTTGTTGTTTTTTTTTGTTTTTGTTTTTTCTGACACAGTCAGTCCCTTCGAATATACTGAATTTCAGCTCGTCCCTACCAGGGTCAACCCGTGTTATAATCATACCTGAGCAAGACTGAATCTTAGAAATTTCAGGCATGTTCACGCTTTGAAATTTTGGTAGTTTCCCGTTTGTTTCAGAACGCAAACATGAAGTCAACACAGCAAAAAAGCACCCCAGCAAAAAAAGAACAAGAAGCAAAACAGGGACGGGTGAAGTTGCCCGCTTCCGCACGTACCCGCCCTCTGGTCACCAGTGAAGGGGAGAAGGAAAGAGGCGGCATGGAATAAAGTGATCTCGTAAGCCATCGACCTTCCTTCGGGTAGTTTTAGCGCTCACCCTAGGCGCAAAACGGCACCGGTTTTGCATTTACGCCTCACACCGTGTAAGGTTTCAGATTGAGAACGTTTTATACCGTAGGAGGGTTCTCGATGTTAAAATTAGCAGGCCGAAACTATTGTACGAGATATTTTTCTGTTATAACCCTTGCGGGTTATAACATTATTATTTGGAATACCTTAATAATGTTATTATTAAGGTACCCCAAACGAGACATGGTTTTACGCGCGGTTCTGAAACGGACCTTCAAAATTTTGCTTTACAGGAGCACGAAGCTCAAATAAAATGTTAGTCAGATCTCGACCGGAATGTCTTGTCATTCTCCAGATTTTGCGCATAACTGGGCCAAAACAACGACGTGCACGAAAGAAGAACGCAGTGAAAATCACGACTCCGCCTTACTTGCTGGCACGTCTAGCGCAGGGTCCATCGCTGACATCATGCTCCACATATCCAAGATCAAGGAGAAGGGAAACCGCTCCTTTGGCTGAGGCACATTGCGGAGGCACAAGTAGATCCTAATCCAGCGCACCAGCATCTTAAAACAAACGCAGGTGAAGACAGTAACCAAGGCAAACATCCCAATTGACACAGCAGCATCCCAAAGTTCCGTCCAAGAAAAGAAAGTTGAGGGCATTTCTGAAGTTATGAATGATGCCAAATGTAGGCCACCTATAATCACCAGCGCTTTTCTCGCAATTCTAGTTGACACAACAGCTTAAGTACAAGCAGAGAAAAGTATTATCGCGTCATCGATGCCTTCTGCCGCCGCAAAACAGTTCCTGCGTGCACGAGATTCGTTTCAGCGATGTCCGTTCTCCTTACCACATCCTTCGTTTTATGCAAGCTTGTCATTGTGATTATTCGACGGGGAAAGCGGGGAAGGGAATATGCTCGTCGAACGTGAAGACAAGAGAAGCGGAGGTTTCAAACGACAGCCGACCCTTAGAGTCGTCTCTCTGTCAATTGAGGTTGCCGGTACTCTTTCCACAAAGGTACCTGAAGAACGGAGAAGCGAACGCTATTTTGTGTACCTACTTGGGTCACTTTTGAACCGGGCGTGGATAAAGCGCAAAGAAAAATTGACGGCGTTCCGTTCCGTTTCTTTTGACGAGGTCACCCAACCTCTTTCTCATTGTTTGCTCGGCTGAACCGCGCTGGTTTCTCGCTTTGTCTTCTAGCTGGTGCAATTGTGCCCTATGCCGCTCAGCTTGGATTTTCGGATTGTAGCAGATCGGCAGATGTTAGTGTTATGGATACATTTTCACGAATATTGGTACAGGCATGTCCTGTTATAATGGACCTTGTTAATAGGAATACCTTGTTATATGAACACCATTTTCGGGGACGAATTTGGAAAATCTATGCATATTGTCTTGTTGTTATTCACAACTCACATTATGGACGATTTTGGGGGGAACGGGGGGTTCCATATAAACAAGACATCACTGTACAAGTTCAAGTAGTCACCTCGGAATTTCACAGAAGAAGAATACATGATTCAGAAATTACGATATAGTCTAGTTCTGCATGAAAATCAATCAAGTAGTCACCTCGGAATTTCACAGAAGAAGAATACATGATTCAGAAATTACGATATAGTCTAGTTCTGCATGAAAATCAATTTAGGTTGTGCCTTGTTTAAGGGCACAGATTATTCTGCAACTGTTTTCATAACTTTTAGCTTTAGACGCAATAACGTAAACACAATTTTTTTTAACTCTGTTTGATAGCTTTATTTAATGTATCTTTGAAGTGTCAGGTTTAGTATTTAAATAGAATGCTGTGGCAAAAGATTTATATTAACATTGCTTGTTATCTTGTCCCAACATGTCCTTGCATATGTACACCATTGGCAAATTAAACATGAGTTGTAGTTGTAAAGACTAAACACTGAGTTCTAATTGCATATCGTTATGCCATTGACGAATAATTTGCCTGTCTTATTTTGCTGCGGCTTATTTATTCAATTAGTGTAATTATTGTATCCTTTTACCGCATCTTGTGTTTGGTAGTTTCACAGGTGTTTGTTAAATGGTATAAAGTTTCTAACGCACTTCAAGCGTCATTGTTTCTTTACAGCATACGGTGTCAAATAATTGATATGTAATTGCATAGAATGCATAAAATGTTTCCTTGTCATCGTGCGACACTGTAGCCACAAACTCGTCGTAAGCTATGCCTGGACAAACAAAAACCGAGGCAAATCATTTTTAATTGATAAATGACTTAAATTGATTAATTTAAGGTATGCCTCATGTGACTTAATTGATAAATCACACGAGGCATCTCGTCGATGTACTGCGCTTAATAAACAAAATTACTTAATTTTCACAGCTTCTCAGTGAGCTGAAATAATCATTTGTTTTTGGTTAATAAAACAAAAGGCGTATTTCTTACAACATTAAAATTGATGCACATTAAAGTTGCATGACTAGTCTACTGATATTTTAATCAGATCAAGACGACACAAAACCATTAACCTGACTTTGTGGTCACTCTTCCTTGATCGATAACTTTAAACAATGGTTTTAATAACATACATAATTATTATTATGCACGCATCAGTGAAAAATGCTAGGTAGAAAAATTACATGGTAGCATGACCGTCGAATTTGTTCGCTATACTGACTAAGATCGCTTAAAGATAGAGAAATCTTTGAATAGTATATGCCTAAAAAACGTCGAAAGGTCGACATTGACGTATGTTATAGCATGGTATTCTTGTAGCGCAGAGGCTTACTACTTCAACATTGCTGGCAGCCGGCTAACCTGGTTTACACTAATGATAGGTACGTGCATGTATAGGGGCCTTTATAAACCAACAGAACCTTGACGGATCCCCCGAGTTGACCAATGCATAAGCCCTCGTTTTATTCAAAGTAGGCAAGGTCGGTGCCAAGATAAATGTGGTCTTAAAGACCCTTGTTCATAAAGAGAAGAACAGGTAGCTCTCGCTGTGGCTTTCTCTTTATTTTTATATCGAAACCACTTTGGGTGCTACTTCTTTCTTAAGAGAACCTCGTCCCGTTTCAGTTGAGTCATCTCGTCATGCGTGTTTTCTTTTCTCGTGCCACTCTTCGGGCGAGGACGCCACCTCGAGATGTCCCTCCAGTTTTGACAGCTGCGTAATGGCCATTCGTGACTTTTTTTTTTTTTATTTGACCGGCTACCGAAGGCTCCAACCGTTTAGTTGTCCGAAGGCCGTCCCGATGAAGTAGGACTACTCCGCGTCTTTGGCTAAACTCCAAGAGGCATACTTTTTTTTTACGTTCTTTTAACCTCGAGTACGGAAGAGTGAACAATGGCTATTGGCCGAGCCGGAAGCCGAAGTGTTTTTCGTCTCCCAGGAGCCATTGTTTGCTTGCGTGGGAAGAAGATTCTCGTTTCCTGAGCGGCAACTTTCAGTAACTTCCGGTGTAAATTGAAATAAGTTAGACGTTGCAGCGGTAGTTATAAAAAGACCTAGGCGGTATTTTCGAGAGGTTGCAGGCTATAATTACCGTCTGTTATGCACAGGCTAGGTTCGACGTTGCAGTTATTCTATATTTGTGTTTGTTGTGATTCAAATTCAGTAGCTTTTTTTGTATGTGTGTGGAAGAAGAGGGGGGGGGGGGTCCCAGAACGTAACATTTATGTTCAAGTTTCTATTATTCTTAATTAGGGGGACTGAAAGTATTTATAACGGAATTTTATATTTTTATATAATCTGGTATGATTCGTTAGATATCTATTGGATAATTTCTTCCTCGTTTTCGATGGCTCAACTCTTGGGCCGTGTTCCAAAATTTACTCGATCTTACTCCAGGGTAAGGGTCTTGTACCCTTGGCGTTCTAAAATCTACCCGCGTCCAGCGTTTTTCAATCTGTGGTGTTACGTGACACGATCCGCCGGAGTAACTCGGATCCATTTGGGTAAGATTTGGAACACAGCCATAAGGACGGTTACTGGAACCGTATTGTGGAGACTGGAGGCCCAAAAATGTTTAAACAGGTTGTCCGCACGATGATAATCTCTTACGGTCTCTTCTGCAAGGTTGCCATGTGAAATTTATCTCGCTAAGAGCACTTTGCTCGTACCAAAATAGTGGCACAAAGGTATGGGGAGGAAAAGGGTTGGTTCTTGCGAAAATGACAATCAGAAACCTTATACATCTTACTAAACTAATCCGTTGTATTATTCTCCGGCGCGGGTAGCTGCATTGTATATACAATCTTTTTTTATATATTATTCGACAAGTCCCCTTAAAGAGGGGCATTCTTGCAGCGGTTCATTGTCCATATGATTTCTGCAAAAAGTCAGTTATCTTACGTAATGAAAGACATACCTTTATTTAAGATTACATTGGATACTAGAGAGGAAAACAAGCAATGGATCATAATACACACTGTCTTTAATTTCGCAATACTTCCTTCAATATCATGTGAGTTAAACATTCAGTAATCGCCGAGGTCCAACATCCTTTTTCTTTTTAAATGTTCCCTAGTGAAGAATAGTTTTTTTATATAAATCCAGACAGCTGAACTAAAAAAGAAAAAAAAGAAAACATTATTTGCTGGAAAGTGAAACAATGTTGTATGGTTTCGCTGTGTTTTGTTGGAAGAAGTGGAAGTTGTCCATATAGCGGGTGCAGTTTCTCGGAGGACAGTGTATTAAATGGGCATTGGTCAAGTATCTTCTTAATTTTATTCCCCTACTGCAAATATGAACTAGGTGTTCCTGCAAAAATCACCTTCAGTTTCTTTCCTCCTTCTTTCGCCAAAAGTGTCAATAATGTTTTGAGGGGATGACGAAGCACTTTATTACCACGTCACGAGTTTTCATCGTTCAGTGTTTGAACAAGCAGAAACTAATCAACTTTTTTTTTTTTCTAAAATGTAAACTTGTACGCGTTGACATTATACTTACGGTTGGCTCCTGACTCGCAGGGAGAAGGACCCACATGCATGTTAAAGTGCCTTTGCATATGGGCAACCCCTTAAATCCTCTTTCGGGCAGTCGAGAGTTGTGAAAAAATATTATACTCTCGCTACTAAATAAGCTGTTTTGTTTGGGCAAGTCTCAAACTCCTCCAAGATATTATTTTTTTCTACGCTCAAACAATACATAGTTTCCCTAGTACAGTTGAAAAAGGCTGCTGTAGAAGTAACCTAGACCTCTAGCTCCAGACTGAACTTGTAACACTAGCGGCTGATCAGCATATGATGCAAAAAACACTACAATATAGTCATATAGTGTTTATGTAACAAGAAAATTACAAAAGCAACAACAATTACAATAAATGTAAGAAATACTTTTTTAGTTTTTCCTGCTCAGCACAGAACTCTGTTCAATAATGTATGTAAAGGTAGAGGACATGTTCAGGAGGTATGAAATTCTCCGGTTTAAAAAGAGATTGGCATAGATTTCCACATTAAAAATTGTCGGATCGTTACACTCCGTTTCGTAGCTTATCATTTTATTTCTTTTGCTTAACACTAGCCCCGGAATGCCCATGTTGCGGCCCACTGTACAATCAAACTGGGCGGAGGGAATGTGTTTTATAAAATCGTAGACTTATCATTGGAACTTTTTTTTTAGGTCTTACGTTTTCAGTATTTTAGAAATAAGTATGCTGTTCTTCATAACCTTTTCGG